CTATCACACACTCTGGAAGAAAACTATATTTGTTTACACTTTCCAGTGCTTTTAAAAATAAAAATAGTTTTCATTGTTAACAAGAAGGGCAGGCTTTTAATTATTAAAATCTTGGTATTTTTTGAAGACTTGTCTCTGGCTATTCTAACTGGAAAGTTCTATGGTGAATAAAACTGTTACATAAATTCTCCCGAATAATAGCTTAATTACTTATAAACTCTGGAAACAATTAGTCTATCATCCTTTGAAGTGAGTAAGGCAACTTGCCAGGCTGAGAGCAAAACGCTTGTCACTTTTTCGTGTAATGAGCTTAGTTTCTTTTTGTTATTTCAGATGATTTGGAAAAGGAAACTCAGAGGAATACACTTTAATGTTCAGAAGATTAAAAGTTGAATCATTCACTTCATAAATGGCCTCTGCAATAACACTTAATAAAGTACCGAAAGAAATATTGAAGGCTCTGAAGATTATAATTTATGTGCTTATGGAAATCATTGAAACAGATATTCTGGTTCAAAGATAAAGTTGTGCTTGAATGACACCAATATTGTAAAAGATTGACGAGGACTGTCCTCGTTCTCAGCCTCATAATACCACCCCTCACACAAACCACCAAATTACAGAAGCAGACTCTTTTCTTCCGTCTCCCAGCTCGCTCTCTGCTCTCTCTCCTTACCCCCCACCTTCTACTTCTCTCTGCCTCTAGGTCTCTATCTCCCGCCCCGCCCATGCACGCCTTTCTCCCTCACCCCACTCCACTGCCCCTCCCGTTGCCTCTGCGTCTCTCTCTTTTTCATCGCAGTTCACCGTCAGGTGTTTTTTTCCTGGCCAAACAGAGATCAAAGGAAGTTCTGAATATAAGTGGCTGTTGTGAGATTGAAACACTATATGTCTGAATATTACCCAAATACGAGGAAGAAGAAAGAATCTCGGAAGACCATGCTGACTGCATCCTGGCTGGCTCCGGTCTGCCTGAGTTGTCGCAGAGCACAGGTGGGGGGAGAGAAGCTCTCGGAGGCCGCCTTGTTAGAGGCCAGCCGGGTGACTATTACTGCAGCCATTGCATCAGATGGAGTCAACACCTGAGGCCGCTCGCTCCCTTCTGGCCTTGGTGGTCAACCGGCAAGGTCATCTGTAATTCCATCACCTGACTATAAGATTGTTTACCCGCTCGACGGAGAGAAACTGAGGGCCAAGAAAGGCGGGCAGGTCCCAAGAGTCAGGAGGCTCCCCTTGGGATCTGTCCAGCTGGTGAGGGCTCATACCAGATCCGGGACGGCAAACTTTTTACATCATTTTGCATTTTTCAAAATGATATTAACATACTTCCTATACCGCCCCCCTACTGGAAGTCATAATTACAACTCATCCTTCCCTTTGTCGGCAGGAATCTCTTTAAGCGGTCCCAGCAACCTACTTTGGGGATACATTTTGCATTTTTCATTGCCCCTCATTCCTCCCCAGACCTATATGTCAAAGAATAGGGAGTTGAGACATGACACATTAATGTTTTTATCAGGGGACGCTCTCTGCTCCCACAGAGAGGGAGGGAGACCGGGAGGAGAGGGCAGCCGGGAAAGAGAGGGAAGGAATCACTCCACAGCTCCTGTGGAAATTCATATTCGGTGTATGTTCCTCTCTCACCTGAAATAAATCCTGCAGGCCTACCCACACAAACCCAGCAGCACTTATTTATTTGCATGTCATGCTTATAACGTGGCAGAAAGCAAGACGGATCTTCGAGGAGGGGACGAGATGAGGCTCACCTTTCAGATTCGCTCTCCTAAATAAAAAAGAATTGTCCGGCTGGGCACCCAGGAATTTATCTTGAGTTTGTGGTCATTATCTCTATTATATAGCCCTGGCAATAAATAAATCGGGTAGTTACTACCCAACAATAAAACCGTAGTGTATGGGACACCTTACTATTACTTTCTTAATAATCTGCCGTTTCTTCCACTTTAAATCTGCCCGGTCTTGTCTTCCCACTTGTCTACGGGGATCCATCTTCACCCCTTGAGGTACCACACTGCTCGGTTCATTTTTATATTTTGTGAACACAATAAGTTTTCCTGTCTAGACTTTCTGTTTTTCCTTCTTATTTCTGGGCTGCCTAATCTGCTTCAAGACAAAGGGTCGGCCCGGATCCAATCTCTTTTCCCTTCCCTTCCCTCTTTTAACCGCCTTGTGGGTCCACATTAATGAAGATCGGCCGCCTCGCTGCAGCCACCCTTGGGATCTCCAGAAGAAAGACAGCAACGCGGACTGCGGGTGGCTGGGCCTGGAGAAGATGGTCTGTGCCCCCGCAGTGGGCACGCCCTTGGGTGCGCACAGAGTCCAAGGGCCGAGTTGGAGAGACTCTGCCTGGGCTAGTTCTACCTCTCACGCCCGCACGCCAATTCTTGGTGGTGGTTGTGCCCACGCAGGGATTTCGGAGATGGTGATCCCCTCCCTCGGACTTCTCCCGGCTCACCCTCCGCCTGGGCACAGCGCGCTACACGCGGACGCGAGCGCCAGCAGCCTGGACCCGCCTGAGAAGTCGGTCCTCGCTCAACTCCTGGCTCGTCCGCGTCTGTGGGCATTGAAGCCCAACCAGGGGGCTCGGCCCGGGAGAGCAGACGCGGAGGTGGGCTGGGGCGCAGAGGGTGGGCGCTGTTTTCTGGTTCCCAGACGCGCCGGCTGCGGGAGAGCCTGCGCTCACGCCCACCCGGCCCCAGCTCTCACACCTGGGGCTCGCCGCCTCCGCGCGACACTTAGGTGCTTGGCCTCAACCTCCAGCCAAGCGGGGGGGTACAATCTGTTTGAGGCCAGAGGGTTCCAGAGCCCCAGAGGCCCTGATCCCCGCTGGGAGGATGAGTCCAGCCTACTCCGGCCGGCGCCTTCCAAACCCACCGCCACACTTGCTTTCACGCCAGCGCGAAAAGTGACGCGTACGGGCCAACCGGTCAGCAAATGACCGTCTTATCCGCGGCGCGGGAGACATGGGGGAGGGCGTGCAGGGGGAAACGAGCGAAGGGGCAGGGGAAAGAAAACAAACAGACCTGCATCGCTTCCCCTTTTGTCTTTATACTGCTGGTCTCAAGAAATCAACTTAACCACAGCAAGCCCCCACGAGGCTTGTTTTTGTTTGTTTGTGTGACTTGATCACAGATAGAACCCGAGACCAGATCTCTGAGTGTGTGAGAGAGAAGCCAGGCCAGGCTACTGGTGGGGAAGGGACAATGAACTTCTCACCTTTCTTTAACTCACAAACAACACGTCTTTTCTAAAAAAAAATCCACGCCGCCCTGTGTGTGTATGTGTGCGTGTGCGTGTGTGTGTCGCTGTTAATTGCGTTTTGCTGGGATGATCTTTTACGACTCGAAAACAAGCGGCTGGGAAAATATTCACGTTTGGGACAGAAAACATTTTTTATTTATATCTTTGACATTTAAAAGAGCAGAATTAATTTGTCCTGTCTACATTAGCATTGAGAGAAAGTTTCAGATATCTACCCAGGGGGAAGACGCGGGGGGGGGGGGGGGGGTGAAGAAAAAAGAAAGCGAAGAAAAGAAAGGAAAAAGAAAAGCTAGGCTTGGTTTTTCTTATTTCAGATCTGTAATCAATCATTGAAATAGGAGGCAGCAAAATTGTAAAGATTCGATAGATTAAAATGCAAATGAAAGGTAGAAAAAGAAACATTAACATGGCGATCAAAGATTTAATAACCGTAAATCAAGTTTTTTTTTTCCTATTGCAGCTGCAGTTTGTGTGTGTGTTTATGTTTTAATCATGTTCGTTCCATAAATAAATAATTTCTGAAACGAGACTAATTTTTCATTATTTTAACCGTGGGCTATAACACTAAATATTAAAAATAGAAAACGTCCGTATGCCAGATCCCCAACCAAATAAGAGAAAGCCTTGTGTTGATTGGTTAAAGGCAAGGGGTTTCATTTGTGTGTTTTGAAAATCAGAGTATTATGCTAAAAAATTCTATCTCAACTGACAAAGCCCAAAGTTATTTTCCCTTTAATACTTTATGTTAACGACAAGATACCATTTATATTAAATATATGCGTGGCTGCATATCCATTTCAGTTTGAGCATTTTCAAAGAACAAAAGTGCCAGAACATTTAAATAATACAAAACATATATTATTTCAAAGTGATTTGACAGTGTTTCTGGAAAATAATACTTTTTAGAAGAATCTGCCTTCTAGGGAAAAATTAAGTGATGGTCATACACAGTTAAAACTTTTCTGAGCTTTATCATTAAAGTTCTTTTTCCAAGTGGGGATATTTTAGCCCTTTGTTTTGTTATCTTCTGATTTAGAATTTTACGTTAAGGTGTCAGATTATCGGGAACACATTCTATTTTATGTAACTACTCACTTTCTCATATGGTGAAGGCTTTTCATTCAGATCTTCTCATTTAAACTATTGATTTATATTGTTAACTTAGAAATTATTTCTAGAACTTTTAAAATAAACACCTGGACTTAGTCCTTTCTTTCTTTTTGGAGGGGTAGTCTTATTAACATGAAAGAATTCATCTTCAGAAGACTGGAAAGTTTTCTTTTTGGTAATATAGCCTTGCAATGTTTAAAATAAGCTTTTGCTTAATTTTGTCTTGAGGGAATTATTCACCCTAATTTACTGAAATGATGAATTCGAACTGTCTCCTTTTCTCCTCCTTCTACAAATTAAAATGATAACCAAAACTGGGATACTTGTTTCCTTTCTAAAATCTTTAAGTTACACATGAGCTAAATTGAGGTCCACTGTCTCCATCCCAGCCACACAATCACGTTTGCACTGTGACAGTCCAATAATGCATTTAGTTTACAATTACACTTGGACCTTTCCTCCTTTGTATTTTTTCATTTACTTCAGTGCAACAAGGTGACTTGATTTTCATGGGATTACATGAACTCCATTCAATGTTACTGGGATATTGCTGCTCAACTAAATACTTGCTTTAATAGACAAATGAACTTCTTTTTATTTGCTGGAGTTTGTAGACGATTTTAGATCCAGAGTATGCAACTGATTTAGTTATTGTTGTTGTCAGAATCGAACAAGCACAAAAGTCATTTATCTAAACCGAAGAGATATGGCTCTCTAAAAGGGAGAGGCAAGGGCAGAATCATGGGGAATTATTTCAGTTTATAGCTCTTATTAATTAAATCGGATGTGGTTTTATTCTGATCTTTTAGTACCGACCTTGTTAAATGCTCCCAGGTACCTTTTTCCCCCAGCCCCCAATTTTTTCATTCATTAGATAACTTGGGTCCCTTGTTGATGGGGGTTGCGTATCACTAAGCAGTTGCAATGTAAAATCGCGTGCGTCTTCAGACGTTCGCACCCCTCCCAGGGGGGAAAAAAAGAAAGAAAAAGAAAAGAAGAAACCCTTTTCCCATTCAATTTTAGCATCTTGTTTCGTTGAAATGCAAGACAGGTACTTGATTTAGCATTTAAGCAAAAGGTTACACAAACCCCGTTTTAAAAAGTGTTGGGACGTCCGACAGGGTCAGCCCCAGATCAGATCATTTTTTGAATGCAGACCTAAAGATAATGAGTACTTGTTGTATTAAAGGGGACAAACAGTACTTTGGCTTCCTCTGACCCCAGAATGCACGGCTCGGTTTCATTGATCATCCTCCTTTATGAGATAATGCAATTACAAACATCAATAAGGGGCTGCAAGGGGAATCATTATGCGGTGACAGTGATAAATGACGGTGCAGAAATAGCATGCTTTTTCCCCCCTAACAATCCAGGAGCCCAGGGGCTCCGGGGGCTGAACACAGTCGCCAAGGAAACAGATGACATCCCAAACGGCACCAAAGGAAAAAAAATGAACAGTCTTTCTTTGCCTTTCACTCTTTTCCGTCTTCCAAAGAGTTAGTTTTGGCTCTAGCAGCAGCTGCCACACAGGCATTTCGTTATTTCAGACATTAAAGACCGGAGCGGGCGGCGGGAGTCTCCTCCGCTCCCATCCCCACCCCCAGTAGATAACACACAAAGCTCGCTGTTCACAGTTTAGGACTACCCGAAAATGAACGTCTTGGAAATAAGATTGGGGGCCGGGGGGGGGGGGAGCTCGGGAACGTGGATTTCCACAGCCATTGCGATGTGTTTTCCCCGCTTTCACGATTGCCCAGTGGAAACTGAGTCTCCAGAACAAGCTGGCGCCTCTTGAGTCGGCCAGTAAAGACGGGGCGCGTGGCTCGCCTCCATCTCCCCGCGGTGCCAGACGCTGTTCGATGCCAAGGGGGGTGGAGGGGGGGAGCAGGCGGCTGCAAGGGGTGTTTGCCGCTTTGCTGGGTTTCTTTGAAATGGAATTATCAGTGGGTGCAGGGATCTCCCCTACATGGAGGAACCAGTTGTTTAAAGCCCCGGGATGCCCTCAGCAAGTGGCTTCCACAGGGCCTTACTGAGCGATCTCCACCCACTTACGTCCAGGGTGGTGGGTGAAGTAGGCAGGCGCGAAAAGGCGATGGGTTACCCCGACTGCATTGCGGGACCTGTGGCTGCGGGGAAGGGGGGTAAGGGGTGTGTGGAGAGCCTGGGGACACTCGCACGAGAAGGGGAACTCGCCACTTTGGGGAAAGGGAGGAGAAAGAGAGCGCGGAGGTGTGAGGGGGGCCCTGGAAGAAAAGCAGAAGGGAGGGGAGGAGGAAAGCGAGCGAGCACAATCCCACCCTTCGAGAAGGTCGCCAACCCGAAGAAAGCAGACATAGGGTTCCTGACCCCTGCCGGGCACGCCCCGGCGTGGAGAGAAGGACCCCTGCGCAGCGTGCCCTGCCACTCGAGGCCCCCGGGAGGAGCCGGCCGGGCGAGCGCGGGAGCAGGTGACTCGATTCACCGCTTCCCCAATCGGCAAGGTCCCGGGACTCGTTTTCCGCCTGGAGATTAAGATCATTGCTCGCGTAATGAACTTAATGCTTTAGGGTAGAGGTGAGTGTGTCTGCGAGTGGGCAGGGGTAGGAATTACCGACCGGATCGATGAGAGACTGGCTTAAAACTAAATCCCTTTTCTCCAGGGCTTCACCGCCTGGTTCCCCCGCGGTGGGCTGAGCGCGCCGGGCTGGCAGGAGGCAGCGCGCGGAGGGGCGCTCCCGGCGCGCGGTCGCCAGACCCGAGACCCTAAAACGCCCCTTATCTCTCCACCGGGACCCCCAGCGTATCCATTTTTAGGGCAAAGACTCTTAAAAGCTCAAATGTTAGCGAACTGATTGCTCAATATGTTGTTTGTTTTTCCTTTCAGCTCCGCCTTGGTTGAGAATGTTACAGATGCGTTGGCGGGCAGATTGGGCCAAAAAGGGAAATTCCCCCCTCCCGCCGTCAGCCGTCTCCCCCAAGGGGAGATACCCCACTCTTTCTCCCTCACCGCTCTTTCTCGGGCCCTGGGATTCCCAGCCTCGTGTAACTGTGCGCCTGGCCGCCCTGAGTGCTGTGGGCCGCTTAATAGTCAAGGGGGTGCGGGGTGGCACGGGAGAGGGGAGTGAGACCGGGGGAAACGCCGGGCCGGGCAGGGCGCCCCATTACCCAATTCCACGCCACTCCACCCGGCGGCCAAGCGCCTACCTCGGCTTTGCAGCAAGTCATGTTTTTCCTGCCTTCACAAGGGCCGAGGGCCTGCTGGGATTCGAAAGGCAGCGGAAAGTTTAAAGAGATCCTGAGGAGCTCTGCTTAGGCGTCGGGGCGCTGCCCACGGCTCCCTGCTGCGCTCCAGACCCCGGCACTCGCAGTCCGCCTGGCGGGCGCTGGCCCGGTGCCCAAGTGCCCTCCGGGGCCCCAAGCTCTCGGAGTCGCGGCCCCAGAGCCGCCGTGGGACTTGGGAACAGAGCTCATCAAGAAGCCTCTAGTCCACCACAAAGCACCCTCAAGCGGCTCCAAGGGAAGGGGTCTGGAGTGCCCCCGGTGGTGCCTCTCCAAACCTGTGCAGACCCAGGATCGCCTCGTCTCCAGAGACGAAGTCAGCATCCCCCTTAGACTTGACTTTTGTGTTGGGGTGGGGAAGAGGTAGGAGGTTACTGAAGGTGCCAGAGTCGCCCCCCAAGGTGCTCTGGGCTCTGAGCACAGACCTGTCCGCCTTGCACTGGGCCCAGGCCAGGACGCGGTGCTCGGTGGGACGCAGGGACAGCCATGTGCGGGGGTGGGGGTGGGGGCGGACTCCTCGCAGCTGCCGGGATTTTCTCTCTGGGCGCAGGGCCCAAACCGAGGCATCTGCCCTGGTGCCCCCGGCCCGCAGACTTGGGGGGCGCTGCGCACAGCAAGGATCCCGGAGCGCCGAGTCTGCGCGCCGCGGGAGAGACGCGGGTGGCAGGAGACTGGTAGGGCTTGTGTTTTTCCTTTTTAGAATCTTTCGATTTCACTACGAAGTTTCCTGGTAGGCGCTTCTGCCCCGGGGTCGGAGCCTCCCACCGCCGCTCCTTCCCCTCCCTTCTCCCCGCCCCCGCGAGCCGAGGGTGCTGGAGCCTCCGCCCGGACCTGGCCCACCGCTCGGTCCCCCCGGCCGGGACCCCGGCGCCCGGAGCTCCGCGCCGCCCTCCCCGGGCTCCGCGGGGGTGCCTCTCCCCGGGGCGAAACTCGCCGGCCCGGCGCACTGCAAGGAGACACCCGCTGCCTCCCGAGGAACTCCTAATACCATCCATACAGCTTTAATGCGTTTATAATTCGATAAGTGATTTCAATTTGAAATTGTTAGTAACTAATTTTATGGGTAATTTTTCCACATCAAATATTTAAGCATCAGATTAAGGGAGCCAGTTCCGACACAGGATAATAAGGGGGTTTCCCCCCCACCCCCCGCGCCTCCGCCTCCCTCCGTTTCCTACCGAGTCGTTTTTCCAAATCCCCAAAAGATGGCAGTCGAAGCCGACATTCTTCTTTTCTTGCGGCTCTGTGAAGGGAGGGGGAGAGAGGGGGAAGAAGGTGGGAGTAAGAGAGAGGAAAGAGGGAGGCAGAGAGAGGGGGGAGGAAGGAGGGAGGGAGAGAGAAGAAAAGGAGAAGGAGAAACTAGACGTTGCATAGACGTTTCAAACTAATTCTTTCACACGTTTCTAATACATGCAAGAAGCAGTGGCGAATTTCCTGGAAATGTCCTGGCAGAAAAGAAGGCCAAAAAACGTGCCTTGTGGGCTGAGAATAGGAGATGTGAGAAACTCAGCACTTTCAAACTAAACCCTCAGTTCAGAGCAGAAGGGGGAGAGGCGAGATCAGGAGAGGCACGGCTTCTTGATATTTCTTTGTATTTTAACATTATATACAAATACTATACAAGTAAGCAACTTGTTTCCTCGAGGACAAGACTGCAAATTACATAATGGGAGGAGAGGGGGTGGGGTGGAGAAAGGTGATAGGTGGGGGGCAGAACTCTGTGGACGGAGGGGGGCTGGGGCCAGCAGCCGATGAATTGCAGACCAGTTGCCAAAACTTTTTTTTTTTTTTCCTGCTGCTGCTGCTGCGGCTGCCTTTGCTGCTGCCGTTGCTTTGAATGTGGGTAACTAGGAAACAGCAAGCCGTCTGAGAAGACGGAATTTCCAACGTGTAAAATGTTCTTAACGGAACCATTGAGCGAGTGCAATAAGGCGTGAGGGGGAACTAATCTTCCCATTTAAATGTTTGTGGCAATTTTATCTAAATGAATTTTAATGCTAAACGAGGGTAATTCCCCATTTGTAGCGCGTTTACTTCTCTTTCCTGTGCTTCTAAAGCCGTCGAACATCATGCAATGAACAATAACAATAAAAGTACTGTCAAGGCATATTATTCATTTTGAATGTGTTATAATTACAGCTGACTGAATATGATAGGGTAAAATATTTTTAATTTTGGGGAAAAATATTTAAATTATACTAAAAAGTAGTCTCATTCAGCCAGCGCCCCCCCCCCCAAATAAAAATAAAAAGCAGGTACACTTGTGTGCCCTTGTTTAGAAGAGGGCGTTTTGTTTTTGCCTTTTAAGCAACATCAAAAACACTCTCAGCACCTCTATTATTTCCCTCTTTCGGATAAGTGTCCTCAATAAGCTCAGAGCTGGCTCTGAAATTTACAAGAGGAAAAGCTAAAATAGCATCAGGGGGAGGTGGGGGTGTCGAGGCAGGGAAAAAAAAGGACCTGCGGAGAGCAAGGCTCTCACAAAACCCTCACACAGAGGGGGGAACACAGGCAAAGCACACAGTTTGTTTTATCTTTTCTAATTCACTGGACACTAATGCTCTTGATTCTTCATAGTCTCCATATTTCCTAATTCCTCTTCACGTGTAGGCTTCTCCTTCTCCTAGTCTCTCTCTCTCTTTCTCTTTCTCTCCCCACCCCCCACCTCCTCCCTTTTCTTTCTCTCCCCCAACCAGCAAGAGCTTCCTCAGGAATAAAGGCCGAACATAACCAACTAACCCAGGCCTGTACTGGGGAGGAGGGGCAAATGGAAGGTTAGTTTGTAAAGTTTATTATTAATTTTTAAAGTAAATAAATGGTTGTTAACTGCTAGTAACCACCCATCAAAAGAGAATTACTTCACGAATATGGACTATTTATGTAGGCGAAGAATTGCCATCGGGTCCAAATGGGAAATTTAAACACGCCCATATACGGGGTAGGGGGGGGCGGGGTGGGGCGGAGGGCTCTACATCGGGAGGCTGCACCGGGCTGACCCCGGTTTCTTTCTGGGCATCCACGTGGTTAGAAACAAGGCCCCATAAACAAAAGGTGAGAGTGCGCCCTGCTGCTCGGCAGGTGAGTCAGTCAATCACACGTCACCTAGTAAACCCACCCCACAGCTGGTTTCTCTTTTCAAATAGAAAATAGAATTGCTCAGGGCGGGTTTATAGGGTGACATGGGCCTGAATGTCAGACTTGAGTTTAAGACGCTCTCCTCCGACCCATCCTTTCTGTCCCAAGCAATCACTACTACAAGGCTGATTTTGAAAAACGAATTTGCCTTAATTAAAATATTTGTATATTTTCCTTAGCTTTGGGAAGCACTTTTTATAGCAGCAATTTTATTTAAATAAAATTATAAGCTATTCCAGTTTAAACATGTTATTTTGTACCATTTAGCTGGCTGCCATGCAGAAATTCTGTACAGCTGTTCTGGAAAATTGGTTAATAACCAGTTTTATCCAATGAGAACATAGAGCATATTTATAAAAATTAGATTTTGAAGTCTGGTCTCTTCAATTCATGTAGTTAATTTCCTAATAAACATATACTGCTCTTCCTAGGTAACATCCTTAGTAAAGAGTTAACTCTGTACTTGGGTTTGCCATTATACGCAAGAATAATTTCACTGATGTTAGATGAGTAATTCTCTTGGATGTAATCTGAGTCTACAGTTAGTTTAATGCCCTTAGGCCTTAAATTTGCTGATATTAGGAGTTCATTAAGTCAGCTTAAAGAAATCAGTGACTATTATTAAATAATTTACTTTGTGGTTAACGTTTTCAAATACATATATGTCTTAGGGTGCTAAAATTAATTTTTATATTCACTGCATTAATCATTAAAAATTTGGGGGGCAGTAAACAAATTTTTCAAGCAGTGGAGTCAGCATGACAAAAATAATCTTGTTTTTATTTTAGATTCAGATTTCATTACTGCACTCAAACAACTACAACCGGGCTTGGCGTTATTATACAATCCAAACTGTTTCCGTCAGAAACGCTAAGACTCAGTGTGCAATGATTGTTATTAATAATTAGCTCCTTGGTTTCTTGATAGAAAAAGGCTATCAACAAGCATTTGTTTATCCACAACAAAAAGTATAATTAGCTTATCCCACTTAGTAAATCTTGTATGCATGCCAACTCATACCAAACTGCTACTTTTACAAAAAAAAATTGCAATAATACAGTTCATTTTTCCAGTCCTTTTTGCACAAAATTTATTTACAATGTCTACATAAATGCTCCAAGGTGGGACTATGGAAAAATACACACATGACCGATGCTTTGCTCAGAAATAAAGTCAACATATTAAAAATAAATCTTCAGTCTATGTTTTTGAGCTGCATAAAACAGGAAGTGATGTATAAGGTGGTGGTTGTTGCATGGGGACAATGATGCTTGATGTGACAATTAGGCTTCTAAACACACGGCCTTTTGGTTTCCATGCCTCCTCCTACCAGTCTCCTTAAGACACTGCCTGCAACAGCTGATTAATCATTGTTGATGACTGCAGTTTTTCCCATCCTTCCCGATTTACATCTGTTCAGGCCAATTCAAATATGGTGAGTAAATGAATTAGACATGCAAATTCAAGCCCCAGGCTAGAGAGAGGGAGAGAGAGGAAAAGAGAGAGAGAAAAAGAGAGAGAGAGAGAGAGAGCGCGCGCATGGCTGAAATCCTAGGCGAGAAGAGATTCTTCTGCCTGATAGTTATTTTAATGCTCTAAAAATCCTGCAAATCAGACCTTTCTGTCCCTTGCAGGATAACTGTAAGGCTTTTTAATGTAAGGAGGCTTCTGGAGGAAGTGAAGAGCTATGGAAACAACACACATAGTGTGGAAAAATT